ATACATATATATATATATATGTATAAGTGTAGTATAAATCTTGTTGATTAAAATATTCTGCAAAGTTTTGTTTTGACACCAAAATATATGGTACAGAAGTTTCCAAATTAGATTTTTTGTCGCTGTTGTTAATATGAGAAGTATAACGATTAGGTTTTGATTCTAGAAACTACTAGCGCCAGCTAGAGTAAATCTTTTGTACTACAAATCATCTTAACAATCTTCAACCGATACTGTCTCATCTAAACACTGATTGTCGTAATCTGTGTAGTCGATCTCTTCTGTAACAGACGGCTGAAAAAATATGGGTACCATCAAACTTATTAAAACACTTGTAAGCTTATGAACATTTTCACAGTTAGTATCACGATATTCTAAATATTAAAACCAAAACAACCTGAAAATATAAACCTATAAAGCAGCTGTTTATTTATTACTTAATATAATGCTATGATTTGACTACATATAACAATGTCTAAAATATACCTTTATTCCTAAAACCGAAAGTATTTAGTACCTTCTATTATATGTTTTAATATGATAATGAACTATCTTCAAACTAATTATCATTCATCCACAAGTTACACAATGATACCATTAAAATTTGATAGAACTTTGAATAAAACTTTTTACTTAATTCTTTGTTTAATAAAACTTAACGAACCGTTGAAGTGAGTGTAAAGTTTTTAGAAAGGTTTCCAAAGTTTATATTATTGTAATTGTGAATGTGAAAACAAAAAAACAAACACAAAATACGCCAAGTTATAAAAGGAGCTCAATCATATAAAATGGAAATACCAGACACACAAGCCAGGCTAGATGAAATAGTTGAGGCAACCTTAAGTGTCTAATATCTTATTTTTTATAGCTTGGCGCTTTTCATAAGTTGGCATTTTTTACATTGGCAATGTTTTTGTTATAGATATCACTTTTTAAATACAAACACATGGTACATACATATCTGAACTGTGCGTTCAATGTCACAGATTTTAGTTATTCTCTGTCAAACTCTAGATGACAGAAAATATTTCGCGTGTATTTGCTGCTACTGCCAATTTTTTCATAAGAAGCTGATTTTCGGCTTCTTCTCCAAATAAAATCACGTTATACAGCTGGTGAGACCATTGTTTAAAAACATGTAAGCTGTACTCAACTTAAAGTGTTGCGTCGTGGATAAAGACCACTGTCTAATATACAGAGTGTTATAGGTTCGTTCCTATTCTACGATATACTGGTTTAAATATTTTCCTTTTTTTTTTTTTGTAAAAGAATGCTCCTTCCTAAAACATAAATACATAGTTTATTATATATTACATTGATATATATTACATAAACACCACGGTACACGCATTCCGTGACATATTTTATTGTTGACAAACAAGTGAAATGTCTTTGAACTTTGGATGTCGTGTAATGTAGTTACAGCTGTATCTGTCATAAAACATTAGTATTAGGCCTACTATATGTTTATAAAAAACAACTAATCACACTCCATAAAAAACTTGAACGATGTTATTCAAACCGGACGTTGTAGCCCTTAGAAAGGCGTAAGCTGAAACGTTGGGTTTGAATATATATATATATTCTCTGGAGTGGGATTAGTCGCTTTTTTTATAAACATGGTTTCAAACCTTTAGTCTACTCTGTAAAATTTAGAAACCAATACTATTCTTTTAGGCCTATTACATTTTTAAACGCTAAATTCTTAATCCAGTCCCTTAGGAAATTTCAAGAATTAGATAGAGTGTCTGAATTAAGAATGTAGTGTTTAAAAATTTAATAGGCCTTATAATAATGTCTATAACAAATAAAATAAAATTGTAATCATTCTTGGCCGACTTGTAAAAGGCCTGCACACCGTAACAAATGTTACTATGTTTGAAAAGTCACTACATTTGTTGGAAAATACGACAGAAAAGAAGAAGTACGTTTTTGCTTTTGGCTAGTTAGTCCTCTTACTGTATGACACATATTGAGGATTTTACACATTTTACCTTCGGAATGGCTGGAGACGGCTTGAATGGGTAATGAAGAAAAACTTTAATATAAGTTTAACATAACAGCAAATGTACAACGTTTCGACAAGGTTTTGTCATCATCAGGATTTAATGACGGCAATTTCAAAGCCAGTTTACGCTTTCATCTGCAAGCTGGCGATGTTAATTTTATTTAGTATTTACAAGCATGTGTAAAGAATGTTGCATATCTCATTTGGAAGATTCAGAATGAGATTATCAACACTACTTGTGATATCATGAGAGATGCAGTTGTTGTAGACATTAACTCTGCTCCATGTTTTACCACTATAGCTGAAAGTGCATACGACTCTACTATCAAGAACATACGAGGCAACCACTAATAAACCCATCTAAGCATTGAAAGGATGAGTCCTTGATCTGTTGAAGATGTGTGGTCAAGATTACAATGGTTGTGCTGTAATGAAAGATCACGTAAAAGGAACTTAAGCGATCGTGCGAAGAAATTATTCAAAGATAATTTTTATGCGTTTCTCCAGGCCCCCAGTAGCACAGCGGTATGTCTGCGGACTTACAACGCTAGAAACCAGGTTTCGATAGCTGTGGTGGGCAGAGCACAGATAGCCCATTGTTAGCTTTTGCTTAACTTCAAACAAACAAACAAAGCGTTTCTCCAACCGTACATCTCGTTGTTGCCCTTGAAGCTTAAATATGTGATGTCTTAAACTGCATTTGTAAAATTTCATTAAAACTCAGCTACACTAAACTAAAGCTGGTAAGGGTTATCGATTCTGATCAAAGAATTATTCTAGTCTCACTGAGTGAAACGTGATGGAATAGTCGTCAGGTTTGTTGATATAATCCTCGTTATACTTGACACGCTCCAAAACAGAACTGAGTGCACTGACTCAGCAACCTCTTCCAAAGATTCGGAATTTCTCTCTGTCATCATATGTCGCTCGCTTATTATTCTCTGTGCGTATGTACACGCTTCACAAAGCCCCTGTTGCTCATATCTCAGGCGCTGCAAGATCCCAACGCTGAACTTTTAGAGTTTATACAGCATATAAAGAACCTTACAAAAGTATTGATCAGATGTAGAAAAAGAAATACTTCAGCAGCATATTTACAGAGGCTACAAAGAAGATTCGAGTAATTCGCTCACCAGCATAAAGGCTAAATTCGAAATATGGCAAATCAAGTGTTCGAAAGAATCTGAAACAGATAGGTCAGCAAATTTTGTTGATACTGTCGGTGAGAAAAAAATCTTGAAATACTTCTATCCTAGCATTTACACCAGTGATGGAAATGGGGGTAGACGCGGGTACACGCCGTGTACCTAGTTCTCAGTTTGTTAAGTTTAGTACCATTGAAGATGTTTATTAACCGTATCGTCACGAGTCAAAGGTCATGTCATCGCGTTATGGAACTACTATTTTATGAATTTATGTCAATAAGCTGGTATGAAATTGTAGACTATAATTTAAATTTTAGTATTATACATTAGTTATTTTTTTAATTTAAAAGTAAATATTATAAGAACATACCTAAATATCGATGTTTGTGTGTCACGTGGTATGTTGAATGCAGTATTGGTTCAAATTAAATGTTTGTGGTGTCCAAGTACAAAGTATATAGTTTCTTACGAATTAGCAACTCAAATTACCAATATTAACAAGCTAGAATATAAAATAAGAACCCCCTATCTTTTCTATTTGCTTTTTTTATACCTATTACCACACTGTTCCTTCTAAGCGTATACCTAGTTCCTAAAACCCATTTCCTTTCCTGATTTACAACCCGCTGAGCCTCTTTGCAACAGTCTCCATGACTTCAGCATCCACTGAGCGCTCTTAGGCTGTTTCAAGAGACTAAAGAGCTATCTCCGATCCACCATGGGACAAGATATGGTGTCTGGTCTTGCTATGTTTGAAATAAACCGTTCTGTCTTGCTACATGAAACAGAAAGATGGGCTTTGTGCTTTGAAATGTAAATGAACTGTAATTTTATTTGAAAATGATACATAAATGTTTAATTAAAATATATCAATAACTATACCAATTAAGTGTGATAATTAATTAATTCACCTATGTAGACCGGTTACTCAAGTGCATAAATTCATTGGGGAATTGTTTTGTCATTATTCGTATGATACAAATAAAATTACCGAAATTTCGGCTTATTTGTCCCACCCTTTAAATTTTGGTCTGTTTTCCCCCACCCCCAAAATTTTGGTCTATTGTAGCCTATTAAAATAGCTTAGATTGGAGAAACGTTTACAAAATTGCTGATACAGTTAAAGATATGAAGATATCTTTTGTCAACTGAATCCAAGGTTTGTTGTTGAAAAATTCAAATATATTTGTAATTTTTGGTCTCATAGATATCTACTTTTTAAACGCACGCAATTCTTTATAGTTGGTAGTTTTAGGATAACAACTAAAAACTACTTAATGTCTCTGATTGTTTTAAACTAGAATGTTTAAAACGTTTCTGTATCTAGTTTTTACATATTTCTTACATGAAATAATATTTTGTTGTAGACGATCTAGAATACATTGCAACCAATAGCATAATCAAGTAATGAGGAAACAGCAAAACGAATAACTTTGCGTATTGTTAACTATTCTTCGTATACTCTCGCAATAACTTGAAATATGTTCGATTGACAATATGTTAGATTAATTTTGTTACCAATTTAAAAATCGTCTACTTTATCATTCCTAGGTGAAACTTTGATTACGTAAATGATATTCAATGTAATTCCGAGATAAAAAAGTGTAACAAATGTCAGAAACTTTCATCGAACATGCGAATTATTCAAGATTTTGTAAAATATGAACGTATACATATGTTAAAGAAGCCTAATGCATTATTTGATTGGCCGTACCTTCTACTGTGGTCTACAGTTTTGCCTATTCAAGGTTCATCAGCACAGCTTGGGTCAGCAAACCAAAGAAATACCAATAGGTCTATTATTAAACTAACTCAAAATCCCATAGATAAAATAAAAACGATTTACTCATTGCTTTTCTGGTCCCAATTTAGCTAACTTTATGTTAAATGTAATTATTCACATACAGTTTACTTTTTTATGAAGTTTCAAATTAGTCAATTGTTTTATAAAAAAGAAGAAAAAAAAATAAGATAATTAAGAGGGATCTCGAGTATGTCAATTTACTTAAATGTTATCTTTACGACTTAAATACATTCTCAATGGTCACGAAATGCAGGAGTAACATAATATTTTGAAATACCACGTCTCTAATTATACACTTTCCAACTCAGTTTAAATATGTCTAAGTTTCGGCGGATCAAAAACAAGTTCAGTTTAGTTTCTTCTGCAAACATTTCAAGGGAATTTAAACACATAAATCTATTGACTTTTTTATTCATTTCTTTAGAGCCCTGATACTAATAAAGTACTGAAGATAATCGAATATACGTCTTAAATTGTATAAATCTCTCGTGTTACTTAATTGCTTTTCTATACTAACCATGATTTTCGTGTTAAAATCTAGGTGCCAGATTTGAAAGAATTTCACTATATCAAGGACAAATTTAAACTGTACTCAATTATTGAAATTATAGGGCGTTGGAACTTTCTTTCACATACCGTGTGACTTCTTCAAAACTGGTTGAATGTTATTTTGTACGATGGCTTTTATACTCAAAGCACCAAGAAGTGTGACCATGATGCCATCAGAACACACCACACGACTGTGTACGTTGTCTACCTCGTGGTCGAACTGACCTACACCCAGAGTCTAATTGTAACCATCGATTTTCTGAATACAGTCATTTTAACATTCGTACTGACTTACACGCCCACCAGAGACTAATTCATTTTGAAAAAATGTTGAAGAAAACTTTTATCATAATAATGTTTCACTGAGAAATAAAAAGTTGAAACATAAATTTGATATATGACTTTCTAATCGACACCATAACTGACATTAATCATTTCTTATTTACTAAATCATATATATATATATATCGTACGCTATACTTGAACAAGAAGTCTTGCTATATCATGTCTGATATGTTAAGCTATAACGATAAATCAGGCTCAATCATCTCGAATATTAAGCTTAACTGAGAACTATTACCTCATCGGAATTAGAAACATCTTCAGTCACAATAATATGTGGATGATCGGGAATAGACGAGTCAGAATTACTTCTGGAATGCATTCTAGTCAAATTGAAAAACAAGATAAAATTATTATTACTTATATTACTGAAAAAGGTCGCAACAATGTTACATCTAGCAAACGACGGGTAAAAGCAAAACTAACAAAATGTGTATTGAATGTAAAAATAACTACTCGCTATATTTTACATTTCCACTGTATTTCCATAGCTACAGTTAAAGATAATTATGGTGCAAGGGAGTAAAGCCTTGAAAACGTGTTGAGGCTTTTTTTTTTATATAAAGATAGCTAAAGAAGATGTTAACTGATCACGTTTCTCACTCTTTAGAACAAATATTACTGAAAGCTTAAGACGAAGATCATTTAGTGTTATACTTGAGTAGAAAAACTGATAAGTTTCTATATGCCACCTGTTATTATTATTGATTGAGTTTGCTCTTTGTAGAAAACTCTCCCGCAAAACCTGTACCACTGTTTTAGGGAAGGGAGGATATTTTTCTAAGAATTTTCCAAGTAAAAGCAGTTTCATTTCTCAAAAAACTGTCAGATTTTTATGTATGGATGGGCCGGATTCTTTACAGTAGGTGTCTGTGACTTGTTCGCGATAAATTCAATAATCAACAAACAGTATACACTCCACTTTTGAATAATATATCTAAGCTAGTCAAACATATATACAAATGTCCAATACACAGTTAATCACTACAGTTGTATCCAGAGCTTTGAATAATCGTCTCTTTTCGTCAAAATCCAAACATGTTGGCTCAGTTACTTTAGAACACAATTGACAAGACATACTATATCTTCTCTACTCTGTTATTACAATACAATCTGTGATAATTTAGAAATCGCCACTATACGCTCTTTATGCCTAAACTCACAATCATGCAGTCTAGAACTATCTATTCAATCTAACTAACTCTGTCTTACTATATAGCTATGTCTTCTACGCATATTTATAGCTAGACCAAGGACAGAATGTCCTACACAGTATGAAATATTATGATGCAATAATACTCAATCAAGCTATAAGAAAATTTTTAGAAGGTTCTAGTAGCATGACACAATAATACAACAAACACCAATTCACAACAATTGAACTACACAACATATGATTCTTAGGCATTACATAAACAAACCTGCAATAAATTATTGCTTCTAAAAATAGCTAAATTTAACACTCTCGTTGAACTTAAGTATAATGAAGTGATTTAAAGACATTCGCCGACTAATCCATGATAGGTATTAGCAAAAAGATAATTATTACAGCAAGGTGAATGCTCTTTGTTGTAATAGTCGTTTTGAAATATTTATACCTTAAAAACAAACGATGATGCCAAAATAGGAGTGTTTTAGAGAAGACGGCCTCCTTCTAAATAATTTAATGGTTAAATGAGAAGTCTACGTATTCTAAATGTTTTTCAATATTTATCAATGATCAAGCCCCCAGTGGCACAGTGGTATGTCTGTGGACTTACAATGCTAGAAACCGGGTTTTGATACCCATGGTGGGCAAAGCACAGATAGCCCATCGTGTAGCTTTGTGCTTAATTCTAAACAAACAAACAAACAAAATCAATTACCAAAACAGTTTATTTTAGAAATGCAATGGTCTATCCTATTTAAGAGTTGGATTTTTCAAAATGAAATCTTGAGTAGTTAAGGCAGGGACCGTGCAACACGCCGCTAGAGGGCGCTACACGCATGTCCACCTGAGGCAATGGGGAGGGGAAGGGAAGAGGTAGAGACGATGACGCCATAGTTCCATGAAGTGGCACCAGAGAGTGCTAGTCCACTATGAGAGGCGGACATGACATCATAGTGGAACAACAACCATGATGAGATCATCATACATGTTTCAACTTGTAATAAAAGACTAGATTTAGTACAGTTGATTTATCTATAAAACACTAATAGATTAGTTCTATATCTAATCATACTTTTTTACATTTTCTGACCGTTTATATGTAAATCATTTAGCATCCTGAAAAGGGTGCTTATTTAACATGCAAACTTATGACAACCATTTCACTGTCGTTATTTTATACTTTTCGTCTACTCATATTTTACAATAGTGGATGATGTTCTACATATACATTGTGTTACTAAGGCAATTTTTTTTCAAATGTGTCTCAACATGCGATTACATCATCAATGTCCTGAGTAAAACTATTATAACAGTGTTACACATGTCAGTTTTAATCACACATTCTTTTGAACAAGACAAATAATTACAATTATCTGTCATGAAATAATTTTATCACACCTAACGTTTTTATAAGTATTTAATGATTTAAGATACATATAATAGTTTCCTTCTATAACTACTTATGTCCTGAAAAGAACACTTTTTAACATACAAACTTGCTATACACATATAATGCATGTTTCACTAACTTTAATTTTAACATCTAGTTAATAATCGTTTTGCTACATAATAATTATGTTTAATCACTATTATAGAATAGCAATACTTAACATTTTTTCATAAATCTTTGAGTATTTTTCTGCATTAGAGATGTAACTTACATCACATATGTGTTCAAAAACACAGTGTCAAGTAAGAAATACAAAGTTGGATGTATGTGTGTTCTTTCTAGTTGACGTCATTAATATTGAAAACATACAATCACCAAATAACAATTCACCCTTACTGACTTTTCACTAAGAATAGAGGGGGCTGATAGAATTCAAAGTTCAGTTTGGTTATTAAAATTGTTGATATTATGTCTCTGTTTATCCATCCATTCACCTTTAAGATTAAAATTTCATAAAACTTTGAGACTGTCTACTGTTAAGGCGCTGATTCTTATTAGGTCGTCACATGGTTACTCATACAAACATTGTGGACACTGATGCATAACAGCTGATGGCAAATTGATCTTGTGTTCATCTAAACTAAATAATCCTTTCGTTTCTACAAACCAGAAATTCTATTTCTTTATTTTTCATTTAAACTTATTAGTTATTCCAAATGCATATATATATATGGATCTTTAATTACAAATCAAATGATTATTTCAAAGTTTTTTGGTAACATGAATTATACAATTCAGTATTTATATATAAAACTAATATTTTGCATTATCCCAATATATACACCTGGAAAAAAGTTAAGCACCCCCAAATATTTTTCAGGATTGCTTATTGAAAATAAGGTTTAATTTTCATGATGTTGAGCAATG